CTCTGCTGCCGCAAACAGCCACTTTCCTGCGGCAAACCGCCCAAAATGCGTGGGCCTGACGTCCCCCGGGGACCGGGCTGGAAGGACAGGGCTGGCTCCTGGCACACGCTCCTTCCCGGACCCATCTGCCCACTGCGCTCGCAGCTGGCAGGCGGCCCGGAGCTCCTCCGGGTGTAATAGCAGGGTGAGGAGGGAAGGAGCAATTACCGAATTTGCTGGGTTTCAACCCAGCGGCAGGGCTGGGAAGTCGGGTGCCAGGGCTGGGGGGTGCCCAGCAATCAGACAGCCCCATGGTGAGTAACCAAGGGGCTCCCTTTGAGCCGGCTATGGGGACAGAGCTGCAGCGCGAGGAGCCAGGGATGAGGAGCCTCCAGTTCTGGATCACGTCTCCCCAGCTGGAAAACAAGCTCCGTTAGCAGTCGGGTCAGGGGTGAGGCCAAAGCGGGACGAGGGGGAGCAGAGCGAGGGCGGCTGCTGGGGGAGTTGAGCAGTTCCATGGTTTTTCCCAAACAGAAATGGAGTGAATGCTCCTGGATTAGGAGCGAACTGGACAAGCCCGGCCTGTCCTCGCCTGTGACACCCGCCTGTGCAGGACGGGAGAACAGGGATGCTCGAGCGGGCACCCAAGGGCACATGCGAGAGCAGGGATCCCAAATCCTGCAGCACCCGAGCGCGCGGAGCGGGAACCTGGCACGGTTAAAACTGTGTCCTCTCAAAGAGATAGAGGCTACGGACCAGGAACTGCAGCGTCTTGTTCTCTCACAGTCCAAACTAAAGGACATTCTAAAACACGGTTGTTTCATCCTCCGGCCCTCTGCTTCCTCAAGGGTCACCTGGATGCTCGTAAGGAAGCGTTCAAGGACTTTATCAGCAAACCCATACACCAGAAGTTTGCCATGGAGGTGCTCTAGCTCCTTAAAAGATTGGCTCAATTCTCAAAAGCATCAAGCGCCTCCATGTGTGAAGGCTCCCCATGTTCTAATACAGCAAAAAAAAAAAAAAAAAAAAAACGCTTCCTAAACACTCAGATAGGAGGAAAGTTAGAAAGTCCTTCTCTGTGGAAGCACTCATCCAAAAAATACCCCACCTTCCTCAGTGACATTTTGCCTAAAAAGCTCCTCATAAAGTGTAAAGTGGATAAGACCAAGGTAGGATGGGCCAAAGAAAAACCATTTCCACAGCTGGTTAAGCAGCCGCCACATCCATTCCCAAAACAGCTGCATTTCAGCATGCAAACCTTGCTGTGGGGAAGGGAGGCCGGTAGGCATATAATTTGGGAGGAAATAAAACAAAAACAGTCACTCTTTACGGGAAGGAGATGCTGAAAAAACCTAGGAGAAGCCCTCTCAGGATCTGTGTGCAGACAGCAGGGGAGTTACCCTGCTTCCATGCCAAGAAACAGCCTGACCCAGCCTTGCAAAAATAGCAACGTTTTGCCCTTCAGCAGAGCCTCAGCTGCCCACACACCTCCAGAGCACATTAAGGGCCTATTAGTCACAAACACTTTGTTTGGAGCAGCCAAGCAAAGGACTGTTGTCTCCCAGGGAAGCTTCTCCTGCACCCTTGGAACCCGTCTCGTGCCTTGCTCTACTCGTTGGTAGCAGAGTTTGGATCGCTTCGAATGTGAAGAACGCTGCAGTTGTGAGCCCAGGGAAGCGGAACTACGTGGGGAAAGAAAAAACGGTTTAAAAAAAAAAAGTAAAAAAGTCCTTTCCATCTGATGAATCCCGGTATGAAGGTAAAGGATAAGTCACCTTTTGGAATTGGTCCTAATGAAACGTTGATTGTTTTTCTGAAACAAGAATGTAACTTTTCTCCTAAACTGGTTTCTACCAGCCAGAACAAAGATGGGGAAGGCCTGGAGCACAGTGTACGTATATGCACCCCCCTTAGCTCACAGGTTGAATCTCAGCCATCCCTCCTTTTTCCCAGCAAATCTCCTCCCAATGTCCCATTTGCGGAAGCATTACTCAAGAAGTTGAGTAAAAACAGGCAGGGGAAGGATACAAGGAAAACAGGATAGCCAAGGACCCCTTGTTCCCTTACCACCGTTTCTCCTGCTCATTTTAGGTAGAATTACACAGAAACATGACCCGTTTTTAAAGGAAAAGTCTATTTCCTTCCTCGCACCCCCGCAATGCCCTTTGGTGCTGCCTGTGCAGCGCTTCCCGTTGCAAAAGGCACCATGTGAAGACACCGGTGGCCGAAGCGCAAAGCCCCGTGGCCTCCTGTGTACACCTGAGATCAGCCCTGCTGCCCCGGCCCCAGGAGAGCCCTTGGGCTGCCCACGCGGGGCCGGCACACGCAGCAGGGACCCCCGCGCCCCCCGTCACACCGAGCACTTGGCCACGTCGCTCTTGTCAAAGACAACTTTGGTTGCGAAGTAAATGGCCACGAGGCCGAAGGCGGCGGCCGACGCCATGTAGGCGGTCACGGACTGCGTGAACTGCACGATGGAGCCCATGACAAGGGACGGGACGACCTGAGAGAGGAGAAAAGCGCTGTCCAAAATGGCCAGGTCCAGGCAGATGCCTCGGCCGGGGGAGACAGAGTCCGGGTCCCCCACGATCATCATGAGCGAGACGTCGCACGGGGAGCCCCCGCACAGAGCCGAGCTGGCAGCCGCAGCAGGCGGGGAGGAAGAGGAGGAGAAGATGCCACCGGGGTGTCCGTTCTGGTAGGGCAGCTTCTGGCTGGAGAGGAGGCCCTTAGGGAAGACCATCTTGTCCTGCTGAGCTGTGTCTTCCTCCTCTTTGCTTTTATACTTATGCAAAAACACCTGGGGGAAAGAAGGAGGGAGGTGAGGAATGAGGACGTGGGGTGGATCGCAGCGAGCACGGCGAGAGCAGGTGGGATGCTGCGCATGGAAGAGCAAAATATTCTGGGCTTTGAATGTGCTGGGTCAGGGCAGGAGATGTGTGCGGCGGGAGCCAGGCTGCCTGTTCCCGATGGGATGCAGAGCAATCCGGTTCCCGGAGGAGCCATGCGGAGACGGGAGGGCCGCGGGAGAAGGGGGCGACTTACGCGGCCTGCGCACGCAGGGAGCTCCAGCTGCGGCGGCCGGAGCTTTCGGAGCGATCCCGCAGCGGGGGGAACAACAGCCGCCTTGGGAGCCCCTTCGGCCGACTCACTTCGGGAGGAGCGTTTCAAACGGAAAAAGGGAAAAAGAGAGAAAGAGGAGGAAGAGAGGAAGCAGGAACAAGGGGAAGCAAACGAGAACTGTGACAGAATTCAACCGTAAGAGAAAACAGGAGGAAAATGGAGAAGATGCAGAAGTTGCTACAAAAGGCACTTTAGGGATTGCTTCTTGTGGGGTCTCACTGCAGCCTGCTGGAAAGTAGTTCGTAAGGGAAGGAGGAACTTTAAAGCTGGGGCAACAAAACCAAACCCAGCTCTACCCCGTCTCATTGTACTGAGAGCTCCCTGTCAAACCTCTGGCAAACGCTCGGCCCTGTGGCCTTCACATTCCCAGCCTGTGGGGTTTGGTTTTCATTCTGTTCGTATTACATCCATGGGAGATCCCTGCCAAACTGTAGTTTTTGCAAAGCAGAACGCTCTCTCACACCCCTATTTTGACAGGATGCCTGGTGTAAATTGGGATGGGTTGGTCAGAAGTATTTGTTCAACGTGAACATCTGGATGCCTGTGGTAAAAGCTCCTACTTATTTCACTGCACAGTGAACCGCCTGCCATGGGGATGAAAGAGCTGCTCTCAAACCACAAATTAATTTTGCATTTGCTGCACAAGAGAAACTCCTATTAATCCAGTGTGCAACTCAGGAACCTCCTAGGACTTCTCCACAAGATAACATCTGTGAGACAGGATTGCCAGCTTTCCTGTTGGTGTAAAAAGTTTCACAATATTTGTTTTCCTTAGAGCTAGGGGAATAGGAAGAATGTCAGGTTTCATTTTACTGATCTTCATATTAAGGACAAGAATTTGAAAGCAGGAGTTCTAAAGGCTGAATACTGATGATTTTTTTTCAAAACACCTGAGGTTAATCGCACTGCAGAAGTGACTTGGTTGCAAAAAATGCATGGGAATCTCTAACCAGCCTGCACCAGTTTCCCTAACAGCCTGCAGAGCAGGGAGGACACACCAACCTTCGCTGATCTTACCCACCCCCTGCTACTCAAAACTATAAAATCCCATGCTTGGGGTGAGCAGGGAATGCCTAGGGAGGGAGGTTCTAAACCCTATTTTCTCCTCTCTCTCATACTAATGGAGTTCAGATGAATTTTCAGAGAAGACAGCCTGGAATCAAGAGGCCAGTGTGTGCCCCACGCTCCTGCCTGCCTCTTGTGGGGATACAGGGATGCCAGCGTGTGTCCCACGCTCCTTCCTGCGTCTCATGGGGATACAGGGATGCCAGCGTGTGTCCCACGCTCCTTCCTGCGTCTCATGGGGATACAGGGATGCCAGCGTGTGTCCCACGCTCCTTCCTGCGTCTCATGGGGATACAGGGATGCCAGCGTGTGTCCCACGCTCCTTCCTGCGTCTCATGGGGATACAGGGATGCCAGCGTGTGTCCCACGCTCCTTCCTGCGTCTCATGGGGATACAGGGATGCCAGCGTGTGCCCCACGCTCCTACCTGCTTCTCGTGGTGGTACAGGGATGCCAGCGTGTAGGGCAGGATCTGGAGGGCCGAGAAGGTGAAGCCCGTGAGAGCTGCCGAGACGGTGACGACGGCGACGCTGCGGGAGAGGCACATGACGAGGGCGGCCACGGGGAAGAAGGCCACGCTGGCCAGGTAGACGGCCCGCGTCCCAAACTGCTTCACCAGCCAGTCCATGATTGTCGAGAAGAAGATGGACGTGACGCACTGCAGGAAGAGGCCCAGACTGCCCATGCGGACACCTGCAGAGGTGGCGAGAGGGACTGGTCGGTCACGCAGACACCCTTGGGTGGCATTTCCTCCCCTGCGGTGTCCAGCCCAGGCCATGCACAACGTGGTGCAGTCCCAGGCAGCATCACCTCGTGCATCTCCTGCACCAGCCAGTTTATATCTCCCACCTGCCCTGGCAGGGAGCTCTTCCTACACACGCTCCTAGATACTCCAGGCTAACTGCTGAGGCGAGGAGAGTTAGGAAACCAGGTGCCATTCGTGTCTTTGCAAGTCCCTGTACTCACCTGCTCACTCTTAAGACCCAGGATCTGTCACCTGCTCATGAACCAGGATGTGCTACCTGATGCCAAAACCAGCAGCGGAACAAAAAGAACAAGGAATTACACTTAAGCCAATGGGAAAATACACAACGCCGACTAAGTGACTACAGTATCCGGTAGCAATCCGGACCTTACCCTTTGCAAAGATTTATCAGATTTCAGGGAATTAAAGCCATTAACTCTTTGGAGCACGGATCATTGCTCAGCGCAGGTTTCTATGGCTGCTAGCACAATGAGGTCCTGACCTGCCCGAGCTTCTACACCGCAAGTGTTAAATAATAATTAAGCTCCCTCTGGTTAAACAGGCACCCAGCACAAAGAGGCAGTGTCCTGCAGGCAGCGAGTGGAAAACTCGGAGGGCAAGATATACGGCGAGGGGAGGAGGGCCAGGAAAGCACCTCTGGGAACGAGACATGGATCTGCAAGAGGCAACGAAGGGCTGGGCAGCAGGTACTAAATGCTCCAGTCCTTGGGGACAAGTTCTGAAGCTTCAGAACTTACCTTCATCGTAGTGGCGCCTGGCATCCGTGCCCGGCTTGGCCCTGGGGACGCCGTGGTAAAGCCCTTCCCCGACAAAGTCCGTGTAGAAAAGCATGAAGGTCATGAGGGCCATCCAGCTGCAGAGCTCGGCCACGAAGAGGCGCCGGATGACCTTGGGGATGCGGCAGCAGAGGCTGTGCAGCCGCGGCACCAT